GCGACTCTATCGGTAAATCAAACCACTCCAGCATCCCCTTAAGGACAATACTAAAGCTTGGATATGTCTTTTTACTTGTGCAATTTACAGGGCAGTCCACTTCGAGCTGGTGTCTTCATTGATCACGGAGAATTTCCTCGAGGCATTCCGTCGATTTGTATCGAAAAGAGGTCGACCTACCCATGTTCATACGGATAATGGTACCAATTTCACTGGAGCCAACAACCTTCTGCACAATATCAACCGGAGGCGGGTGGAAGACTTTGGCATTGTCGAAAGGATCCAGTGGCAATTTAACCCTCCCTCAGCTGCCTGGTGGGGAGGATGGTGGGAGCGAAAGGTTCGCATCATGAAGGATATGCTGAGGAAGAACCTTGGGCGAGCTGCTCTGAGTTACGAAGAGCTTAACACTGTACTCTGTGACTGTGAAGCAGTCATAAATAGTCGACCCATCACTTACCTGGCGGAAGATACGTGTCAGCTCGTACCTTTGTTGCCCTCGCTGTTTCTTCATGAGCTGAAAGATGACAAAGTACCTGACATCGACGTGGCGATCACCTCTCATAAAATCACTGCTAGATTGCGCTACATTCAGGGACTGCGAGAAACTCTGAAGAAACGTTTCAGAATTGAATATCTTGGTCAGCTGATGTTACGCCCTTTGGCGCGATCTACCTCCAATACTCTCAAGGTGGGAGATGTTGCCCTCATCGGCAACGACCTGCAAAAACGTCTGGACTGGCCCTTGGCCAGAATAAAAGAGCTGATGGAGAAACGAGAGTTGCTCGTTTGAAAACGGCCACGGGAGAATTCGTACGACCGGTGCAGCGATTATATCCCTTGGAGATACACTCTGGAGAAGAATCGTCTCATGATTTGAGAGATTACTATCAGACAAAGAAGAAATTGTCTAAACAAATAAAGACAGCTATTACTAGTGCGAATTCTGGAGTGCCAAAGGACATAAAAGTTGTAAAGACTCAAACGCGTACACGAAGCGGTAGACTTGTAAAATCCCCGTGTAGGCTTAAGTATTAGAGTTTATTTAGTTCATTTGTTGTAGTTTCGAGTCTTTTCAGATATATAAAGAGAAGTGTTTTGTTTTTTCTGATTATCTCTGTAAGAAAGCTTTAATTTTTTGTTCGACTCTGTGTTGAGTTGTTGGGATTGTCAACAACTCAAGGTGGGAGGAGATGTTGAGATGAGAATAGAGGCGCTGGTGTGGCGTGACAGAGTATTTAGTTGCGTGGGTTGGCAAGCCTGATGCCTTCCGTTTTTTAGTCAGTTCAGTTCGCGAGAAGCTTCTCGCCTGTAGTCAGACATCTTGCTTTCTGCCGCCACGAAAGGACGTGTCGTGTGATTTCAGTTTTCATCCTAATAAATCTGAGTGTTCTTGCAACTTCCGTGTCATTATTTGCGCACCCGTTGGTAATTTCCAACTGTGCACGCTTCCCTTCGTATCGCGCGCCGTTTTTGTTGGTAGCGTAAGAGGGTCCCTAGGACTCCCGATTCGTTTTTGTTTATGCGGCTCGTCTTTTCGCGAGATGGGCAGTAGTCGTCTCTCGCTTGTCGGCCACGTTAGGTCAGATAGTGCGTTCGTGTGTCTCCACGGCGCTAGCGAGTAAAATAAAGAGCGTCCATATACATCGGTGGATTTATTAATTGCGGGTCCGCCTTCCCTCAACATTTGGTCCTTCGAGCCGGATCCAGCTGCTCGAGTCTGGATTCACGCAATCGATACTCGCTGGGCAACAGTCACAGGACACGACGACGACTGGAAGGAAGGCTCGTCCGCCATTATCGCGAGTCGATATCGGACGCACGCCTCCCACTTTCGCGCTGTTTGGAAGCAGCTTGGCGTTAGAAAATTTACCATTGTTGCTAATATCGCACTTGAGTAGTGTCGGTGGGCTCTCGACCGAACATCACGGAACGTAAGGCATCAACACGACCATTTCAACAGCGTGCGGCCAGAACCGAAGTACTTCGAGGCGGCCATGAGTACGTAGCAGAGACAGGCAAGCGCACCGCATCACTCCCGTTCGAGAAAGAACCCTGGACCACGAGACGGGGAGACGGTGGTATCGCGCACGTCACCAGGCGTGCATTGGGACATCGCTTCGTCCGAAGGCGCTCTTCGCATCGTATTCACTCGCAAGTAAACGGGGTTAACGTTGCACGGCGTCATTACTCTCGATAACGTTCTCGCGGGCATATCCGTTGAAGATTGTTATACATCAGTCTATTGTTCGTTCTTCGTAAAATGGCGACGCTCTCAGCGACCGAAGCAAAGGGCAAGCGCACACCAATTAAGGCTATGGCCACGCGTATTAGGCATTTTATAGAACAGGCGGATTCCGCGCAATTGTCGCGTTTCGATTTATCCGAAAGAAAGAAAAAGCTATCTGAGCTATGGGATCATTGCCTGTGTCCAGCAGAAGTTTGCGCTTGCTAAGCGCTTTGCGTTCATTGGATTATACTTTCAGATCTGTGCTGAAATAGAGCTATTCTTCTAGATCTATCCAATCAGCATAAAGCGCTTATTCTTAGCTAACTTCGGCAGAACACAGCCAATACGTTGAGGTCCAATCGCGAATTGAAATGCTGGATCTCGCCAACCCCGGCGACCGAACCGAGGACGTTTCAACTAAGCTACACGCGGACGAACGCGCTAGCTTCGAGATACCATACTTCAATCTCATGTCACGCTTTGAATCGATTTCGCATGAAATCGAACGTCGCGAAGCACAGGCAAACTCTAGGCCTCAGAACTCCTCCACACAGCCTCGTAACAATCCCGCGTCGACTCAACTTCGCCTACCTAAAATTGAATTGCCATCTTTTTCAGGAGAATACGAAGATTGGTACTCCTTTCATGACACATTTGAGAAGCTTATTAATGCGAACCCTGATTTGCCGGCAATCCAGAAATTCCATTATCTAAAATCCGCGGTGCACGGTCCGGCCGCAGAGCTCTTAAAGTCTTTTGAAATCACGACGGAACACTACGATGAAGCGTGGGAGCTACTTGTAGAACGGTACGACCGTCGTCATGTTGTTTACAGTCACATAAAATCGTTATTCGAATTGCCAGTCATGTCGAAGGAAAATCATACGCAACTGCGCGTATTGCTCGACGGAATTGGTAAACATTTGCGCGCCCTCAAGGCAATGGACAGACCGGTTGAAACATGGGACGATCTTATTATTCATTTGATCCAATCTAAATTAGACATTGTAACAAAAAGGGAATGGGAAACGAGTCGCTCGGGCTCTACAATTCCTACTCTTAAGGAACTTAAAGAATTTCTCTTGCAGAGATGTTTAGCGTTGGAGTCGATCACAAGCAAGTCCGATAACACGTCTCAAAGGTCAAAACGAGCGGTGACGAACGCGGTCACTGCGAATCTATGTTGTGAACACTGCAAGGGAGAACATCTTTTGTATCATTGTGAATCGTTCAAAAAATTACCCGTAGAAAAACGCTTCAAAATCGTGAAGGGTTCGCACTTATGTATCAACTGTTTAAGGTCTCGCAAGCACCAAGCAAAGAATTGCCCGTCGTCGTCCTGTCGCAAATGCCAAGGGGCACACAATACGCTATTGCACTATGAGTCGAATGCCGAGCAGAAGACCACTTCTCAAGGGGCGTCCACCGAAGCAAAGGAGCCTTCCTCCGCGCCGGTGGTCACGCAATGTTTGCAACAAAATCCGTCCAGGGTACTGTTGTCTACGGCAGTGATTCACGTACGTGATTCAAAGGGTAAATCTCACGCATGTCGAGCGCTATTGGATAGTGGCTCGCAGTTAAATTTCGTAACCGAAGATTTCGCGAATAAATTGCACTTGAACAAACGTTCCATAAATATGCCGATTTCGGGCATTGCAGAAGGTAGCTTCGAAGCAAGAAACTCGGTTGACATACACGTACAGTCTCGAATTAACACGTTTCGGGCACGATTGAATTGTATTGTTTTACCAAAAATAACGCAAAAATTGCTACGCGAATTTATTCATCGTTCTCACGTAAAAATCCCGTCCAATATCCGATTAGCGGATCCGAACTTTAATGTTCCTAGTGACATAGATTTGTTGATAGGGGCGGAGGTGTTTTGGCAACTCCTTTGTATAGGTCAAGTTAAGGGGAATGGGAGTCACCCTACTTTCCAGAAAACAAAGCTTGGTTGGGTCCTTTCAGGCCATATCACTGGCTCACAGAGAATGAACAAAGGCGCCTCATGCTACTTGACCACAATGGAAGAACTCGATCGGAATATCTCCTGATTCTGGCGATTAGAGAATGACATTCGCAGCGATGCCAACGCGTTTTCGTCTGAAGAGGTCGCATGCGAAACGCTCTTTCAACAGAGCACCTCGCGCAATGAGGAAGGTCGGTTCATCATCAAACTTCCTGTGAAGGACGACGTGCTCTCGCAATTAGGTGAGTCCAAGCAAATTGCTGAACGTCGATTCTTCGCCTTGGAAAAACGATTATCGAAACAGCCCGAGGTTTACAAAGAATATCGCGATTTCATGCGCGAGTATCACGAACTCGGTCATATGTATCAGGTACATGAAACACCAGATTCCAACAATCGCATTCACTATTATTTACCACACCACGCGGTCTTCAAACACACGAGCACTACTACCAAGCTGCGTGTGGTGTTTGATGCTTCATGCAAAACTGAGTCTGGAAGGTCATTAAACGACGCATTACTCGTTGGGCCTATTATTCAACAGGATTTATTTTCAATCCTGGTTCGTTTTCGCACCTTTCGTTTCGCGATGACTGCTGACATTGCCAAAATGTACAGACAGGTTTTAATCAATCCCTATCAACGATGTCTTTAGCGCATTCTTTGGCGGGACACTCCGCAACATGAGCTGCAGATTTTCGAACTGGCTACTGTAACATACGGAACCGCGTCGGCGTCTTTCCTAGCAATACGCTCCTTGCAAAAATTGGCGCAGGACGGAACAAATTCGTACCCGTTAGGTTCACAGATCGTTTTGAGAGATTTTTATGTCGATGACATGTTGACCTGTGCTTCTACTATTGAGGAGGCGTTAGACATAAAGAATCAAGTAACTACGTTGCTTGAGGGCGGTGGTTTTGAGCTGAGAAAATGGTTCTCGAATAGCCCTTTAGTATGCAACGATGAGAATTCTTCGGGTAACAAGGAAATAGCTTCGGGGTCTGAGCATGACAGAACTCGCACTCTCGGAGTATCTTGGAATTGTCAACAAGACATCTTTTATTTCGCGAACGTTGAATATCGACCCCCCTCAAGACTGACTAAACGCAATATTCTATCAAGGATCGCTCTGATATTTGACCCGTTGGGATTGTTAGGGTCCACCATTGTGATCGAAAAGCTTGTTATGCAAGAATTATGGATGCTAAGGGTAGACTGGGACGAATCAATTTTCATGGAACTTGGCACTAAGTGGCAGAATTATGAAAAACAATTGAATGCCCGAATAACCTCGCAATACCTCGCAAGATTGTTGTCGATAGGGCCGGACTCATTGAGCTGCATGGTTTCGCAGATGCCAGTCAACAGGCATACGGGGCGTGTATATTTGCGTTCGTCAATGAACAATGGTGAATTCACGGTTCGTTTAATAGCGTCGAAATCTCGTGTAGCTCCGGTCAAGGGTCTTTCGATACTGAACCACTCTCCACAGGCGCAAGATTTGCTCCAACAAAGCGTGGTGGAGAGTGGTTTCACGCTGGCGATCGTGTCCGAGCCCCACCGCCCCCGAGAGACAGCCCATATTGGGCTGTCGATAACGGACGGGCGGGGGACTCGGTCGCGATTCGGTAGCGGTCGGTGCCGGGTGGTCCCGACACGGCCGCCATCGAAAAAGGGGAACGGCATGTGGCCGTTCAATGGGGGCCCATCGCGGTCGTTGGGGTCTACTTGAGGCCCACCAGGCGCCTCCCCCCCTTTGAGGGCTGGCTCTCGGATATCGGGCAGACGCTCGTACGCCTGAGTCCGAGGCCGGTCCTCGTGGCCGGGGACTTCAACTCGTGGCACACGAAGTGGGGTTCCCGGCACACGAACGGGAGGGGTAAGGCCCTGGACGAGTGGGCGGCGATGCACGGGCTGGTCCTCGTGAACGAGGGCCAGACCTCCACCTGAGTGCGGACGCAGGGGGAGTCCATTGTGGACCTCACATGGGCTACCCCCTCGGCCGCGCGCTTGATTACCGGGTGGAAGGTGGAGCGGGGCGTCGAGACTCTATCGGATCACCGATATATATCGGTGGAGCTCGGCGTCCTCTCCTCCGTGCGTCGCCAAGAGGAGACGCGACCGCGATGGGCCCTCCGGAAGCTCCGCGAGGACGACCTGATGGCCTCGATTGAGGCCGCCTGTTGGGTCCGGGGAAGTTTCCCCGGGATCCGGGAGACGGACCCCCTGCAAGAGGCCGAGTGGATCGGGACAACGCTTACAGCGGCATGTAATGCCGCGATGCTCCGGTCCAAGACTCGGCCTCAGCGGGCCGTCTACTGGTGGACGGCAGAGATCGCTGATCTGCGACGACAAGCCGTCCACCAGCAGAGGAGACTCGCCCGCTGCAGGCGCAGAGGCGAGCAGGCGGCCGAACGAGCTAGAGAGGGCTACTTTGAGGCCAAAGTGGCCCTCAGGAAGGCCATCAGTGGCAAAGGGCAGGGCGTGGACGGAGTTCCTCGACTCCCTTCAAGAGGATCCGTGGGGGCGTCCATATAAAATGGTACTCAACAAGTTGAGACCATGGGCGCCCTTGCTGACGGAGCGGCTGGACGGGGGTTTCGTCCGGAGGGTGGTGCAGGCCCTCTTCCCCGATATTTCCGGGGAGGACGGGGGCCCACCCTTCGAGCCGGGGAAAGACTCCCCCGACTGGGACGATTCCCTGGACGTCCAGCCGGAGGAACTCCGGAGGGCCGTCAGGAAGGGCCTTAAGGGCAATACAGTCCCGGGTCCTGACGGCCTCCACAAGCGTGTCCACGCCCTGGCCATGGGCGTCCTCGCGGAGGAATACGCGCGCCTGTACAGCGCGTGCCTGAGGAGAGGAGTCTTCCCCCCGCGGTGGAGGAGTGCCACGCTGGTACTACTCCCGAAGGAGGGGAAAGACGCCTCTCTCCTGTCGGCGTATAGGCCAATATGCCTTCTGGACGAGGTCGGTAAGTTGTTTGAGCGAGTGCTCGTAAACCGACTCGTCCAGCACCT